AAAAAGGCAACCGCCTAGATTATTTTATCTTTTCTCCATTGTACTATATGGATATACATATATTTGCTATGTATATACATGAATATTTAGGATTCTATGTTGTTATTGCGAGACGAATACAATTTGGATTTTAGTAGGCATTTTATGTAAATAATACTTTTCTAACATGCCTGATACTTAATAATGTAACATCAGCTGTAATAATGCACTGTAATGCCTTCATTTTGGTGAAGTGAATACAGAAGTTGATTTTGGAGGAAGTTATTCTTACCCGTTATCTGAAGTAAACAGCACAAATGTATTTTCAATAATGCCACTTTTTTCGAGTTGATCCATCACCTCCCCCACTTGCCAATCCATTTCAGCTAAAGAGTCAGTGTATTTCCCACCGATGGTTGAATTCCTAAACATCTTACCCGCAAATTGTGGATAGTGAGGATGCATAAACGAGTACAGAAGAAAGAATGGGGTGTCTGATAAGGAGTAATCAATAATCCAGCTTCTTGCGGCCTTTACTTGCCGATCAGCAAGTGTTATCATGTCCGCTGGTTGTTCTATGATGGTATTATTTAACACCAATGGACACGGTACATTATCAGGCTTACAATATTCCGAATCGCAATCGCCATCCGGGTAGAAACATGTTTCGCATGGGCAATCTTGATGCGAATATGGAAATCCAAAAAACCGATCAAATCCATGCTCCAGCGGAAGAAATTCCATTTGGCGTCCGACACCAAGATGCCATTTTCCAACAAGAGCAGACTTGTAGCCTTGAGGTGCCAGCATTTCCGGGATAGTTATTTCACTATGGGGTAGTCCGCCAATGCTTTGCTGAAGAAACACAGGGGTTACTTCATCCCATACACCGGTGCGAGGAGGGTAACGCCCTGTGAGGAGACTAGCTCTGTGGAAATATATTATATATTATGTTTATAATACGAAATAATAAAACAAAATTATTTTCACTGCTGTTGGTAAAAAAATGTTATTACAACATATTTTATCAGGATGACACAATCAGGCACCGATGTACCCGTTTTTCATTAAGAAATAGTAGGCAATGTAAAACAAAATGCTGTGGATTTTACATATTAGGCCTATTATAAAACGGTCTTACCAGCATAAAGCCTGAGACTTGACCTGAAAAAAATGACGGCACTACAAGAACTTTTTATTTCGCATTACCACTAACTTAAAATTATTACTCTCATTTTTATGTCAGTTAACAGGTTTTTAGTTTATTTATTATTGTTATTAAAGATTTTTTTTAATTCTTCAAGTTTCATTCTCAGATCGATTGAGAAAGCGTTTGTGGCCTTATATAATAACCAATGCTTACTATTTTATGACATTTGATTGTTATAATACACTTTAAATAAGACTAAATTCTCCACAAAAAATGTATAACCAAATTGCATTGTGGGTTAACTGTACTAACGTGTTGTTTATATCCATTCGTACACGGGGCCCCATTAAATGAGCGACGCCTGCGTACGTCTGGATCTGATCAGGATATAAACTTACGTAATTACCATTACTGTATTGGAAACAAAAGGGCGCCGCGTAAATCTGGATATGCGTATGATATGACGGTTCTGCGTAAGATATGACGTATATCCGCTTCACATTTGCTATGCCAGGCTCTATCTTGTGTTTCTAGTATCTTTAGTTGTACATTATGTTGGTGTTTTTTTGGCCTTTAGTATAATACATTTGCTATCATTGTTATCACAAATTTCATTTTTACCATGTTGTTAAAATGAAAATAAAAGAGTATTGTAGTGTATTGTGTACTCATCTATGTTTATTTTTATTTAATTACTTATTTAATAAAAATAAACATAGATGAGTACACAATACACTACAGTACTCTTTTATTGTAGTGTATTGTGTACTCATCTATGTTTATTTTTATTAAATAAATAATTAAATAAAAATAAACATAGATGAGTACACAATACACTACAAAACTCTTTTATTGTAGTGTATTGTGTACTCATCTATGTTTATTTTTATTTAATTATTTATTTATTTTAATTTTAATCTTAGAAACTGAGTTTCTAGGAACTTAAATCCACCTACCTTGTCGGACTGCAAACATGTCAACAAAGATTTTATTTTTGAGTTGATTTTGGAAATAATATAAACTGCCTCTCGAGGGCGTCCTAATTACACTAACAAAATTATGAATAATTATGCGTAAGCTTTTTGCTATGATTTTGAACAGTTTTACTTAATTAGGCCTACCTTGCTGGGCTGCAGATTGATGACGCACTATAGGCTTGTGTGAGTTTCAGACCACCTTGTAGTAGCCTATCGATGTTTGGGGTATGTGAGAGCGGATTTCCAAAGGATTGTAAATCACCATATCCCATGTCATCGGCCAAAAAGATTACGATGTTTGGTTTAACTCTGGCGCATTCAACATGACCCGGAAGTATTAATACAGCGTAGATGAAAACAATTAAGATAAAGTCCCTTTTCTGTGGTGCCATCGTCGTGGATGCTATTGTGATAAATATTCAAATGTGTCGTGAATGTAAAATGAAATCAGAGACTTCCTCATGGTTTTCAAACTATTACAAAAGCATTTATTAGGCCCTACCTAGAATAAAAGGAAACTTCATCATCATGCTGCTGACCCTCATCGTTATCAATTCTGATCATCAACATTATCATTTACTGTAATTATCATCATCATTATTATTATCATACAAATAGTATTTCATATTATCATAATAATGTAGTAGTAGCAGCAGCAACAGTAACATAGCATTAGCAACGTCATCAGCAGCAACATCATCATCATCATTAGTAGTAGTATAAGTTGCAGCAGCCGTAGCAGTAGTTGAAGTAGAAATAATAATTATAGTACAGTAGTAGTAGTAGTAGTAATAGTAATATTACATCAGTAATTATTATACTGTTTCGTCACAAAATTTAAGCTAAATATAGTCAATTTTAGAGTTGTAAAGATATGAGATGGATAAAATAATTGTTATTTCAATATTTTACTTCAAAAATGCTTACAGAATTTTCAAGTTACTATAGCATTTCATTTATTTAATCAACCACAATTTACATGAAAAACATGGTTAGGAAAAAAAATTTTAAAAATCACTATCACCCACGAAGGGCCAAAATGAACAAAATACAAATTAACAATTTGAAAAGAAAGTAAAATAAGTTACCATAATAAAATGTAAAATTAAAACGGAAACAAGAGAGACTTGGTTCGTTAAGCTAAATAAAGTAAATTTAATATTGAACATAAATTAATTGGATAAAATAATTTTTATTCCAATATTATGCTTCAAAATCGCTTTTAGAATTTTTATGTATTACGAGACAAAGTTTAGACGAAAGATCAATTCTTTATATCTCCAGTACTTCTATTCCCTTACCTGTAACCTACCTGGCTGCCTACATCCAGTTTCGCTTTGAAATTGACAACTCAGTATCGAAAATGGCGCATTCAATTTCGAAAGCTGCAACCAAGATCACGACGACATATTATTTAAACAGACGGTACTAATATCCTTCTTTTTAGTGGGCCTACTTGGCTTTAGTTTAGGACACCCTATGGATCTGTAAAAAATATACTGGTATCTTATTTATGGATCTGACAAGAATTTAAATATGACATACCGGCATAAAACTTATAGTCTTTGCTCTCGGTCTGTTGTAAATATATTGAATAAATATTGAATAAAACAATGACAGACAGTGTTTGACCCAAAAAAAAAAACAGAAAAAAAACTGTTGTATGCCATATTTAGTCATTATATGCCTATATGTGGTCATGATCTGAAGTAATCATCACCATGTTTATTATTACTATTACTATTATTAACTATAACTATTATTAGTACTATTACTATCATTATTACTATATTACTATTACTTAGCCATTGCTATTATTATTATAATTATTATAATTATTATTATTATTAATAATATTATTATTTAATAGTATTATTATTTACAGACTTTTGAATACGAAATTTATTAATTACCAGCTAACTTGATCGTTAGTGCAAAACGTTTATTTTCCGTCTTTTAATTGTTGCTTTTTCTAGTTAATGAAAAGCCAAAAATATAATAATGTTACGATCTTGATGTAGTGGCTCTACATAAATGCACAGCATGTATGTATGTGTAAAGTTTTCAATTCCTTTACCGTATTTATTCGAATAAATACGGTATCTAACTACACAATTTAATGAAATCGGTTACCGGTATGTATTTCAGAGTAGGACTTTGAATTAGAATTGAGAAGACGATATGCTGTTTAATAGGCAAGTGTCGGATGCTGGGGCTGATCCACAATCATTAAACGTGGTGGGGCACGAGATTATCAGAATTGATATATGGGAACACTGGCAGCCGGGGCACAACGAAAGGACCGGAGGCCATTAAAACATTTTGTATTTGTAGTATATTTTTTCTTATTTCAATATTTTGACATTTTTGTGGTAAAACATGTAGTGTTAAAGCGGAGGACACCAGCCCCCACTGGGTCTGTCACCGGGAAATGGGACAAGCGGCGGCGGTGTTATGCTGCAGTGGTTTTAACCAATGTAGCATGTAGGCCTATACCTAGGTCCTAGAACACTGTGGCAGTAACAAACATGGACTACCTGCATCCGTGTATATAAGGCCCTGTCCAGACTATCAACTTTTATTTAAAAAAAAAAAAACCAGTGTGACATGCCTAAATATGGTCATGATGACATCACATCATGGCCGTAATATATAGCACATCATGGCTATATATGGGCATTGTGTATGTATGTAGTATACATACAAAAATATTATGAACAAGGTATGGGTAAAAACAAATCAAACCAAATCAAATCAATTTATTGGAACTTTCATTCAGCAGTTTACATTGTTTAAAATTTTAAAATACATATACGAAGCAAAAATATACAAACATCAAGAATCAATCAGAAAATACCAAAAATTATGCTTGTTGCAAAAATGGTCCCCAAGTAAGTACAAAAAATGTGTGTCTCATATCAATCCTATTAGCTATTGTTTATTTTCCATGCGAAGGAACCGATCACACCCTGACTGATGAAATTAATGTCTCGCTCTTGGCCGAGAATTTAGAGATACGCCAAAATCACGATGATGCTAAAATAATAATAAATGGAGACTTCAACGGGACGATTGACCATTTGATTACTAACAGAAATGGTAATTTCATTTATAACGGCCAAAGCCTAATGAATATCAGTCATGATGATCTCTATTCTCAACTGTAGTAGTGAGATGTGTGCACTAAGTTTTACTTGGGTCCAAAACCAATATAAAATTATCTTAGATTTTTCTCTTGTGTCAACATATATTCTCAATGATATTGCCATGTGTATTTTGCATAAATTATCTTGTAATTGTATTTGATTTGGCAATAAAAGTGAATGAAATCAGGGAACACTGTTCGCTAAAAGTGAATTGTTAATTAATGACCCATGTATCTTTCACTTAGGTAGCGACCATAATAATGATTATTGTTGATATTAATTTTCAATCGTCGCGAGATTTTAAACCCAACAAAAATAAGGAATATAGATGGAATATAAAACCTAATTAAAATTGGACAGCGTTAAAGCAAGATCTCTCATCTAAATTTAGAGATTGGAACCCTGGTAATTTAAACGTGAATGAAGTATGGGTATCATGGAAATCCCGTGTTTTGTCTGCTGCTAAAAAAATAATAGGTTATAAAACTAAGTTAAATAATAGCAAACCATGGTTTGATAAAGAAATAAAATTATTATTTAAAAAAAAGAAAAAAGAATGCAAGGCTGACAGACATTATTGTAAACAAAAGAATAATACCAAATCCGACGAAAATGTACGCGACAATTTCTGGAAAGAATATCGACAATACTTAATGAATGTAAAGCTTTAATCCGACGAAAAATTATGCAAAGGCGAGTAGATAGATGCTCAAAAGGTATGGATAAAGGTCGACCTCAATCTAAAGATTTCTGGTCAATTTTAAAAGGGAATAAGAAAAGTAATAATGTACTTCAATCATGATCCCAGGAACAGACAATGTAACATCTGATGCGACGACAATTAAAACATCATTTTTATATTATTTGTGCATGTTATCCCCTTAAAATGTTTTCACATTTTCACAAGACACATTGTGAGAAATTTGCCTGAAATTCACGTCAGTCGTGTCGTCATTAGACATCATGTGACCAAACATCTTCCCATAGTAGTTTTTGCTCAGACGGTTATCATATAGACTAGAAAAAAAATCTGAAAAAAATGAGTTAGGGGGAGTGGAATGTTAGAAGCAATCCACATAGCCAGATATCTTAATTAATCCCTTCTGGTCACCCTAAGCCCTGTTGACACTTGATTTTACGCCTTGTATACAAATGGCGGCCATTTTTCAAAATGGCCGCCAAATTTATCTAAAATGTGCATAAAATTGGATTTAAATAAGCTACATATATGATTTTGGTGTCTAAACTCATAATTTCTAGACAGGCAACAAACTAGACAAATAAAAACTACTGTCACTCAAGCCAGAATGGAACACAATTAAAAAATAGGTGTTTATTTGTTTTAAAATCACCCCAAAATACTTAAATGTACATAAAATAAGAACGAGTACCGGTAGGCTATATAAGTTACTAGTACAGTTTTCTATGTACTCCAAATAAATTTTAGTGCCAAAATAGATTTTATTGACTAATTTTATCATTTTTATTACGCTGAATTCAAAAATGTTAGGTGCTATTTTTTTTCGACGTCATCGGCCGCCATTTTGATTTTCAAGAGGGCTGACGCACCACATAAAACATGGTCATGATTGGTGTCAATGGAAAGGGAATTATACACTGATCATTTATTGTCATTACACCTAAACATGATATATATTTACAGAGATATAGACAATATATAAAGTCACATGACACAAAAGGTCAAAAGGTCAACAAATCAAACTTACCAAATTGTCGTGTTTGGTATCAATTGAAAGCTCTGCCAATGATGAGTTATGTTTTCCGGTATATAAATATCACTGTGTAGTTTTTCATATATTGTCCAGTAAATCTAATTATGGCATAACGTATAAAAAATAAACAGGACCCAGTTGCATAATGCTCATGAGCTCTCGAGGTGGGGGTGGATTCTCTTACTACTAACTAGCATTTTACTATCGAACCTTAATCGTGCATAACGCATGCGCTTTCTGGCCAAGTCCCAGTTCAAATGGGTCCTTGAGAGGCCACGGGGGCTGAGCCCTTCTTATTCCTACCCATCACTCTACTAAAACGCCTTGACAATACGGTAACTTTTTCTATAATTTTCAAAAAAAAAAAAAAAAAAAAAAATAGAACAAAATCCCACAAACACTCTTTGGCAGATTTATTAGAAGGGGTCAGTCCAACTATCACCCATCATTTTACTATGGAGGTTTGACCAGATATGTACACCTGTGTGCTTTCTGGGGGAACGCTTAGTTCTACCGAGTCCAAATAAACCCCAGATAGGCCTGGGCCCCTCTCCTACTTCATGGTGGCCAAGGCAAATACAGTATGTTGTGTTTTCCTATTTATTGATGATTCTACATACAGTAAATACTTGAACAATGTATCGTTATGTTACGTACTGTATATTAACTCAAAGAGCTCAATCACCAAGCGCATAGAGGCTTTTCGCATTATGCGCTCTACAAATCCAACTATTATTATTATTATTATTATTATTATTATTATTATTATTATTATTATTATTATTATTATTATTATTATTATTATTATTATTATTATATTTAATTGGCTGATTGATTTGTTATAACATTAATAGGCATGGTCCTCACAGTAGTGCAACGACGAGTCGTAAAATATTTTTTTTCTCACGAAGTGGCACCGGATGGGTAATCCCCCTAGAGATAAGTTTTAAGGATGAAAAGACTTTAATTATTAGACAATGCCAAGAATGTTGTGTGAATAATATTTTGCACACACCTATACACACCTATTTAATTTGATTATTTGCGTGCAACATTATATATATTATGTCCATGCATATGCACGTGCATTTTCTTAGTTTTGCCAATATAAATAAGTATTATTAAACAATCATTCAATCAATTGTTTCAGGGTGGGTCCAGGAGACACGGGTCTATCCCAACCCCAAAAAAATAAAGAAGAGAAAAGAAAGACGAGAAAGAAAGGAGCATGACGTCACTGTAAGCCTACTCCAAAACAAGTTATTTTTTTAAATGTCTGTGGTCTTCACCATTTCTAAACAGAATTTTTTCTCTATAGGCCTGTCTGTCCCTTTGGTAGATAGATATATTCGGTGTAAACACTAAGGATAACCCACAATAGTCGGAAGAATACGTGTTTCCAGTGAGGTCCTTCTGGTGGTTTTTGGGCTCTACACCGGCAGTGGCCTAACGATAAACCCGGGGCCCTGTGACTTTCTGAGACTGGGGGCCCCCTTTTTGCTACGCTAGATTAGCTATGGTTTGGGGGAACCCCCTTTTCTAACAAACCCCTCTTTTAATTTCCAAAATAAGTCCTCCAACCCAACTAATGCACTGCAGACTCAGCCAGACAGACATTTTCAAACAAATCTGCTTTTATAGCATTATTTAGATCTATAAAGCACAAAAATCCTTTTGCTTTGGCGGTTTCGCCGACCCACCCATCGGGGCATTGACTGGACCTCACACCCATAAAACCCCCTCCCCCCTTTGGAAGAACCTGGCTACGGACCTGAATGCCACCTCATCCCCAGCATGGTTGGGGCTAAGGTAAGATCATTTATGAATACGGCACTTCGAAGTCACCGGAAATGGCACTCACAGATTTAAAATGCTTGTTTATAATTTATTTTTAAAACAATTGGAATATTAAGGGGGACCCAGGCCGACAGGGCCCCCCATTAAACCTTCACAAGATGTATTATAGTCGATCTCAGCGACACATTATGCTTTTATGTATCAACAAAGCCCTTTTGGGTAAGGGTGACCGAGCGAGGACCTATGGGTTGGGGCACCTTCGGCGCCCTAGGTGACGGGGGCCCTGCGGACTGCCGCACAAGAGTGCATAGTCGTTACGCCACTGTACATCGGGAAACAATCTCCTACGTGCACAGGCCATAATGCACATGGGACCAACAGGTTAAATGTCTCATATGAAAGACGGTGAGCTATGTAACTTGCATTCCAGCCCTCCGCCTGAAATACAAAGAGAATAGCGATGGGAATTCAATACACAACCTCCTTCCTAAATCCCCTTCCAATTACCATCTTAGAAAACTTATTTATCCTCCAAAAAGGCTGTAAAGTATTCCCTGTACAGTCGAATGCTTTGTTTATTTTTAAGTCAGTAGGCCTAATTAAAATAAATATAATAATCTCACTACAATACTTGTAATAATAATGACGATGATGATGATAATGATGATGATGATGATAATAATATTTTTAATAGGCCTATTGGTTGCCTTTTTGTCTTTTAAAACTGTTTCCTTTTGTTGTTTTTGTGATGTGGATCCTTTTTGTTGAAATTTGTTTAAATGTTGATTGTTTAGATTTTCGTGCTTGAACCCTTTACTTTTGTAAAATTCAACTCATTTTGAGTGGTGCAATAAAGAATGGTTTGATTTGAATCGGAGACCTAGAGATCCCCACGTTTCAGCGCACACAGAGGCTACCAGCAGTTTAGGCAACTGAGCTAAGCTGCTCTGCTCCCTGGTTATAAATCTATAAGGTACCATTCCAAAATTTAATAATAGGCTCTATTACAGTAACACTAACAAAATTCAGTGACGGACAAAAATTTACTTTCGCCATAATATATTGTACAGTAAGCCAACGACTTCCGGATCACCCTTTTTGCAGGTCATCTAATAGGCTTGAAAATATCAATATATAGATGTTTGAGTACCAAAATTCATTGATTGGTTTTAATAAAGTGTGATTTTGATACCAAAAATTATGCTGCTCTGAAACTTGATAAGGCCAATCTGAATAAAATGACCATTGTCCTTTAAGGTCCGATTGATGATACAGGCGTTCATTATCCGAATATCCGAATTATTAGTAGGCCTATTTGTATACATTTTATTTTAATCGATTTCAACATGCAGTGTATAATATTTAATAATAGGCCTACTATGATGGATAACCATGTATTTTATTCTTTATTTATTGACATGTTTAAAGTTGGAGGCGGATTTTAAGGTGCGTAGGGATGCAGTCGTCCGGGGCTCGTACATTTAAAAAAAAATTAAAAGAAAATATTTTGTCAAAAGCGTTGAATTATTAGATTGCTTGAGTAGTATGTAGGGGCCCATCGCCTTTCAGGGACTCATTTGGGCATGGAGGAAGTAAGCGTTTTCCCAGAAAGCATACAGGCATTACATAACTGGTCAAACCTCCATGTGGGGCATCCTGGGGCATAGTTGAAAAAACCCCTTCTAATAAATCTGCCAAATATTGTGTTTGTGGTATTTTGGTCTATTTGTTTGTTTTTTTTTTTTGTTGTTTTTTTTCGGAAATTATATAAAAGGTTACGTATTGTTAAGGTGTTGTAGGAGAGTGACGAGTACCAAAAGTACTGTAGTGGTATAAGTAAGTAGTAAGTATAAGTAGTGGCCTCTCCAGGGCCCATTTGGACTCGGACTTCGCCCAGAAAGCACACACGTTACTTAAGGCTTGGTAGTAATGTGCTAGGTAGTAGGTAGTGTAGGAGCGCAGCCCCCCCCCCCACCAACCCCGAGAGCTCATGAGTTACGCAAATGGGTCCTGTTTAATATAATATGCCATAATTGGACTTATGAGGCAATATATGAAACACTAAACCGTTTCTGATATATGTAAACTGCAATAAATTATTCAGCATCGGAAGAGCTTTCCAACGATACCAATCACGACTACTTTTGGTGAATTTTTTTATACATATTCTTGTTTTATACAAATTTTAAGTATATTTTGCGGTTATTTTAAAACAAATAAACACCTATTTTTGAATTATGTTCCATTCTGGTTTGAGTGACAGTAGTTTTTATATGTCTGGTTTGTTTCCTGTATAGAAATTACGAGTTTAGACACCAAAAATCATATCTGCAGCTTTAATTTCCCGGATTATTTGCACATTTAGATAAATTTGGCGGCCATTTTTCAAAATTGCCGCCATTTGTATACTAGAAAAAAAATCAAGTGTCAACAGCGCTTAGGGTGATCAGAAGGGATTAATTAGGATATCTGGCTATGTTGACTGCTTCTAACATTCCACTCCCCCTAACTTGATTTCTAGGCCTCTTTTTAATTTTTTTTACTAGTCTAATAGTACAGTTGAAAATCTTTGAAATATTTCTCGTCGTAAGAAAATAGGATTCAAACCTAGATTATCTTATAGGTAATTTACTAGTAAATAGTACGTGAGGCATTGATAGTTATTCTTCACATTCTCAACTGCAACTTGTCGATGCCGTGTATGTACGTCACTAGGCCAATTAAATATATATACTGCACATGCATAATTAATAGATGTAAGTTCAGTGATTTCAATAATCTCTCGCCGTAATACATGATTAGTCGTCTTTGTCTATTGACTTGTAGAAGAAGACTCGTATTCAGAATGAGTCACAGATGCAATACCTCCGTTGTATGCTAGCTTAAAAAAATGTTAATTTCCCAAAAGCCATATTTTTGCATTATCTATGCGTTTTGCTGTGATCAGGACATTGCAATGAACCTTTCCGCTAAGCTTCCACAAGACGGCAGTGTTAAAAAATACGCGAACACATGCGTTCGTGGGACAACACGTGTGTTTGTAAGACGCGCGCGTATTCCTAGGCTGTTCTGATTAGTCATTTGTTAAGTTTGATTGACACTCCAGAAAGGTCTATTGTGCATTGCAAACATTGGCAACTCCTCCTACTCTAGGGGCACCGATCGCAACTTTTTTGGTCGCAATGCACTACACACAGCTTTCAAAGTAGCTCAGGAAATATAATGAATATTAGAAAAGTGTAAATTTTCTACCACCAACATTATTATTTATAGTAATATATAACTGTCGTGATATAATGTTCTATTAAAATGTGTTATGTGAAAGTTTTGCAGTTGTGTGTTTTAATGCTAAGTTCCCGCAAATTATAATTATTAACGGGGAAGAGATTATCCGAGTACGTTGATTCACAATTACAGCAATAGGGAAACGGCTCACAATCCTCTTTACAACACAACGCATATGACGAATCCGTTTTTTTGAGAACACTTTCGGCAAAGACTATCTTTTTAGATTCTGTTTCCATTAGCATAGTCAAGTTTTCAACTACTGTCTTGTATGCACTTAGTTTACCTAAATCGACACGTTCTTTTGGGTCTTTAAGAATGTCAAAAAGAAGTGGAGATTGAAGACTCGTTATTGGAAATTCTGCTCTGCACATTTCATCAATAGCGTCCGGATCACACATAAAGGTGCATTCTGCGTAGAAGTGAGCTTTGTATCGATTACTGCGAACGGCAAACGGGCCTATGTCCGGGTCAGGTGTAATATCGTAGTACAACATTGAGGATCTTGTAGTCTGTCGAGAAAAGGTTAAAATGTAAACACTGTAGAACTATATTGCTCCGATAATAAACAAATTGACCTTTCCAATGAGCCTCCCATTTGGATTTCTGGCAACGATGCGACAGCGTCAACGTACATAAAATAGGACGTTTGTGGAAATACACATGCGTTTTTGGACAAATGCGTTTTCTTGACCATGCTGTGATTGGCCAGTTGATCAAAGAGTATAAATAGAACAAGAGAGCCAACAACGCTCATTGAGAGCGTAAAAAAACGATACGCCCATACGCAGCTAGTGTAGGACGCCAACTAACGCTTGTATGTGTTTTATTACCCAGTACTCC